GTTCCATAACGGTCGTTGGAGTAGCTGGATATGCTAGCCGGACCAAGCGTGCAATATCAGCCTCGAATTCTTGCAAAGTCTCGTTTGATTTCTGGCAGCGGTTCTTAAGTTGGGAATGGTAGACATGTTCCAGATGTGTCTGGCCATATCGAAGTTCCAGATGTTTCACTAACGCTTCGTAATCTTCTTGTTCGTTTGGAGAAAGCGTCTGCAAGATGTCCGTTGCATCTCCGCGTAAAGCCAGAGTCAACGCTGTAGCTTTTTCTTCTGGTAGCCAGCCATTTGCTTTTGCTGCTGCCTCAAACTGACGTATGTAGTTGGTCCAAGAAGTTTTTCCATCGAACTGAGGTGGTTTCATCCGTACTCGGCTTCCCTCTGGCATTGTTCCTGGTTCCGCCAGCATCATGGGTAGATTTACAGCTGTCAGTTTACTATTTATTTCTTTAATTTTGACTTCCAATTTATCATCCAATTCCATCCTTACGTCATTCAATTCCATCCTTACGTTATTTAATTCCATCCTTACGTCCTCTTTTAATTCCTTAACATTATCTAGAATCTTCTGTTCCAAACATTCCTTTAAATTTTTTGAATTTTCCAGAATTTTCTGCTGTAGTTCGCTAGAATTTTCCAGCATTTTCTGTTGCAAATCGTCCTTTAAATCGTTGACATTTTCTAACATTTTCTGTTGTAACTCGTTAGAATTTTCCAGCATTTTCTTTTGCAACTCGTTAGAATTTTCCAGAATTCTCTGTTGTAAATCGTTGGAATTTTCCAGAATCTTCTGTTGTAAATCGATTTTTAAATCGCTAGAATTTTCTACCATTTTCTGTTGTAACTCGTTAGAATTTTCCAACATTTTCTGTTGTAACTCATTAGAATTTTCCAGAATTCTCTGTTGTACATCGCCAGAATTTTCTAACATTTTCTGTTGCAAATCGCTTTTTAAATTTTGCAACAATAAATGCATATCACATGAACCTTCAAATAAATACGTATCTGGATTTTCACCTTCCTGTTCCAACGCTTCTCGAAGCCGCTGCTGCAACACATTCTTTTTCCCAGTTGTTTCACATTCTCGTTCTTCCAGCTCCCGCTTAAGGTCCGCCACTTTTAAGTCCATTAACGAAACCATTTTCGCGAAGTTTCACACTAACCGCACTCCTGACACCAATTGTAACGTTTTTAACTGTTCGTAGTGTGAATTAAAACACGCACTGGTTAATTAACGAACTAAACTATTTATTTAATAACTTAACTACACTTAAAACACTATAAAACTAACTAAACACTTAACTACTAATTATTTATATATCACTATTGTTCAAGAGTCTATTTATTTGCACTTATATTTATTTATTTCGCCGCGAGTACCAAATCATAACTGACTTGCTCTGTGCTGCTCCGTTTCTTATATATTACAGCGCCAAGGTCTTCTGGAACATTCCAGCGAGCTCCACACTCTCGATTGTTCGAGCGCTGAGTCACCGGCGATGACTCATCGGCGATGACTAACCGGCGATGAGTCATCACTCCGGTACTCGCTAAAATAATATAATTGTTAAAAGCTTTAGCCTGAGTACAAATGCAAAGATTTAAAATAAATAAATACCTTAATACCGAGATGATACACTGAGTTTCATAAACAATAAACTACATTTCAGTTAAATAAAGTCATACAAAGTTATACAAAAGGAAACAACAAAATCAAGGCCAGTGTAACTTAAAATAAAGAAAATACAAAATAGTAATATTTAAGGTAAATGCAATTCAGTGTATATGACAAACGCGACAACATAAAGATTTAAACTCAGTGTATGCGCGATCCCAAGATATTAAACCAAAATAATGAAATAGTGATACAATAAAAAATTATTACCAAAAATCACTCGCTATTTACACATATTAAAATGATTAGGACCCAATAAACTAGCAATGATAAACGACATAGACCAAGATGCAAATTAAATAATGATGTTAAAATTATAAGCAAACATGTATTAAGAAAACCCAAAACGAGGAGTTGTTTATCATTACTAGCAAATATTACAATTTAAAAAAGTGCACATACCTAATTATAGCAGAAAATCGGTAACAATCACAAAAACTATAACTATATTATAATATATTTCACAAACGTTTTAACAGGAGTATCTCGAAGGGCGAGCAAAAACCCTCTGTCTGTATTCTATTTCCTAATCTAGCTTTTAAACATCTCGGCCACTTAAGCAAGAATGTGTAACATAAACATATCACCCCAATATTTCTACGTTCAGATACAAAGAAGTGAAACGTTAAAATTCAATAGGATTTTAACTTAATTAATTTATAAAACTATAATATTATTTTTAGTGGATTATTTAAATTTTCCTTGGTAAAAATAGCGCCAAATTTGAATTTAGAAGTTTATATACTACAGGACCCTTACAATATCAATTTTCATTTTTTAATTGATTTCGACCCACCAACTATTGATTTACCCTCCACAAGAGTATTTTTTTATGTTTAATTGATTAAAACATAAAAAATGACAATTTCGGAAAATTTAAAAGGATCCTTAACTTACCCAGCCTCAGGATAGGTTTTGAAACGAAAAAGCAAGTTGCCTTTAAGATGTCACCAACCTAGTCCTACAATTCTATTTGGGCTTAACAAATACGTGTGCTCATTTAATATGATATTATCAACTGTTAAGTTACTTTAAGGTAGGTACTTTAAGTTTTTGTAATGTTCTTGTCAATTTTTGTATTTTTTGCTTCAATTTTGCATTAAGTTATCACCTAAAATATTAAAAATTATGGTTTGGTTCCCCAGTGCCTTGTAAAACGGTCACAATTTACTATTAAATTTTCCAAAAAGTTCTAAAAATCATCTCTCTGGTACCAATAAAGATAGAACAATTCTGTAAAAACCTGGTTAAACAGGGTGTCTAGTATCAGAAAATGCCAAAAACTCAAAACTCAAGATCCCTTCTCCCATGCATGCATGCCCGGTCACAAACTGCAACTTTTTACTCTAGAGTCTAAAGCATGTAGGTACCAAAATAGGAACTTTTATAAAAAAATTCTATAGCTAGCCTAAAAGTTTTTTGCACGTTTAATTTTCGCCAGGGAATGTCAACCTCAGATCTGAGCGAGGCAGTTAACATGTTTTCTCCGCCGTATTTTTTCAAGCATTTAATAATTCTGTACTTACATCGAACTTATCGAGTTTCCCACATTTTGTCAGGTTTTGCGTTTTACATTTGTTATTTTATAGGTTATGTAGGTCATAGATTGGTTTATATAAAAACCTGATCATATGATGTAGGTGCATGAATTTATTCTCCACTGAGCTAAACGCGATAGATGGAACCTCTGTCCCTATTTAATGTATTTTCATTATTGTACTGCGGTGTATAATAATTTGGCTTTTGAACTGTTTACAAATATAAAGCCTAGAGGCGTATGCGTATTATTATATGAAAAAAATAGGTAAATTATTTCCAAACAATCAATCTTAAATGTGCATTAACTGTAAAAAAAATAATGAAAAGGTACTTAATACGTAAAGAATTCTTTTATAATCTGTTATTAATACACATACATGGTCTCATACATTCGAGTTTCAAAGGCTTTCGTACTAAACAGTATTAAATACAAGGACTGTAATTTAATCAGTGGCGTAGCTAGCCTCGAATGGGCCCCGTATCAAAAATCTGGTAGGGGCCCTTATACGAGAAAAACTGCTGGTAAAAAAAATTCTGGGTGTCACGCCCAATGTCTATTTTGGGGAAACAAAAAAATTTTAGGGTATCATTTTTGCATTTACCAATTTTTTATAATTTAATAAATTAAATAACCTATGATAATAACACGCAAAGCAGACTCCGTATGCGGCGCAGAGCACAGAACAATATACGCAGACTGCGCCCCAGACAACGCATAGCGGAAAGGTGCGGGCAGAAACAATTCGTATGAGATCACGGCCTCGTTGGAACAGGAGGGTATTCAGGAAAATTTTAATTTAATAAATCTAAGTATAAACAATTAAATAACATTATTATTTATTTAATTTCATGCCTCAATTTTTTTACATGTGGGTAATATGTTTTTTGCTTACGCATTTTGAAGCCAATCGGGGGCGCCCCTAGCCGGGGGCCCCGTATCATTGATACGGCTGATACCGCGGTAGCTACGCCCCTGGATTTAATCAATTATATTTCTAACGTTATTTCGTAATTTGATAATATATTATATTGTTTTTGTTTTTGTACAGTTTTTCTGCACTTTACATGTAATTAGTTTTAGTAAGAAGGCGTAGAAGGCGTATAATTACACAAAATTTATTTTTAATATTTAATTCCGTGTTAAATAACACAAAATTAATTTCCTTCCATTTAATTCCGCGTTAGGTAACACAGAATTAATTCCCTCCCATTTAATTCCGTGTTAACTAACACAGAATTAATTCCCTTCCATTTAATTCCGTGTTAAATAACACAAAATTAATTGAATTAATTCTGTGTTAGTTAACGCAGAATTAATTAGGAAGGTAATTAATTCTGTGTTAAAGGCATTATGACATGTTAGGTTTTGGAGAGAGAAATTCACACTAAACTGAAAAATAGGCAACGAAATATAAATATTGAATTATACCGAATTCACGCCATTTTACAAAAGTCATATGTACGATGACAATAAGGGACAGATAACAAAAATCACACATAGCATTTTTTGAAAAACATATGATTCAACGCTTACTAGACCAATTGTTCCCTGATTAATTTTATTTCTAAAATTATTTGCAATTTCTTAATTGACCTATTTTTTTGCTCGCCAGTGTATTAGGCGTTTGTAATTTCTTACCAATGAAAATCTTATAACATTTACTCTACTCTATAGAGTATACTGTATACTGATCTCAGGAGGGAATGACAATTATTTAAACAAATTGAAAAAGCCTGAATGTCAAAACTATCCGAATCATTTTAAACCTATCCAATTGATTAATCTTTTCAGAATTCAGTGACAATGGAGCGTTGTGGAGATACGCATATGAAGACGAAAACCTTATAGCAAATATGGACGAGCTCTGGGCTCAAGTGGAACCATTATATGACGAATTACACAAATACGTCGGTCGTAAACTGAAGTGTCGTTACGGCAACAAACTGGACTTGAACGATGGCCTTCTTCCCGCCCATCTTTTTGGTAACATGTGGGCTCAAACCTGGAACAACATCGCCGAATTAGTTCTACCTTTTCCCGACGCTCCAAGCATTGATGTGGAAGATGGATTCAAGAAACAGAACTACACGGTTTTAAAGATGTTTGAAACTTCCGATCAGTTTTTTAAATCATTAGGTTTAATTTCCAACGCAGTGTGTTATGATGTCAGCAAGGGAGCCATGATTGAAAAACCGACTGATGGTAGAGAAGTTCTTTGTCATGCTAGTGCCTGGGACTTTTGCGATGGCAAGACCTACAGGTAAATATGGGTCCCATACATATGGGTGGAATTTGGTATTGATAACGATTTCTGTAGGATAAAAATGTGCACGGAAATTAACTTGGAAACCTTCCTTGTAGTGCACCACGAGATGGGTCACATAGAATATTTCCAACTTTATAAAGATCAATCAATTTCATTCCGTGAAGGTGCAAATCCCGGATTCCATGAAGCAGTGGGCGACACCATATCTCTTTCAGTCTCAACTCCAAAACATCTTCACAAAATTAATCTTTTGGAAAAATATATAAGAAACGAAAAGACCAGTTTAAATGCGTTAATGTTGAAAGCTTTGGATAAGGTTGCTTTCTTGCCATTTGGACTGTTAATTGACAAATGGCGTTGGGATGTTTTCAACGCATCTATACCAGAGGATAAATGGAATGCCCATTGGTGGGAATTAAGAAACAAATATCAAAAAATAAAGGCTCCTATCGAAAGATCCGAAAAAGATTTTGATCCTGGCGCAAAATATCACGTTGCAGGCGACAGTCAATACATCGCGTAAAAATCATATGAGCTTTTAATAATTCAACATAGTAATTGGATTTCTAGGTATTTTATAGCCCACATTTTGCAATTTCAGTTCTACAAAAGCCTTTGTATGGCAGCCGGTGAATACAATCCAAATAACAAAACCATTCCCTTAAGTGAATGTGATTTTTACGAATCAAAAGCCGCAGGAAAAATATTAAGGTAAATTTTGGAAAAAGTTAAATAACTAAATGAACATTTTTTTAATTATTAATTTAGAGATGGATTATCACTGGGTCACAGCAAACATTGGAGCGAAGTTTTGGAAATAATGACCGGAGACAAAAAACTCAATGCTCAACCATTAGTGGAATATTTTGAACCTCTTTATGAATACTTAAAGAAAGAAAATAATAGGATTTAAAACAATTTGACAGGCTAATAATGTACTTACTATAAATACTAATAAATACTTAGGTATTGCAAAACAAATAATGTAAAAATAATTTAAATTCTAGAAAAACATGATCTGTTCTATTTATTTTAATCTGGGACAGATTATATTAAAAAAAGTATCATACCCAACAAATAAAAATATAACAATATAACAATACCAAGGACTGCCCAAGAGTTCTCCTCTTTTCTCACTGCTTTATAATTTTTATTGTGCCGACATTTACAATGAAGAACTGTTCCTTGACCAAGACAAATATTTTGTACAATAAGCAGATGACACCGCTTTAATTTATCACATTAAAAATCATAAAACCTCTCTGATTCAACTCCAGGTGATAAAAAACAATGGCTTGGTTTAATAAATAGAGACTAAAACCAAACCCACTTACGTCTAAAATTAATACACTTTCATGAAAATAAAATTGACCCCAATATATAAGTAAAGTATGTACAATATTTGGGAATTCCATTAACCCCTTCAATAATCCACATTTTCCCAGTGTAAAATATTTTAAGGCCGGTGGTGTTGTCCAGGTCATCCAGGCACATATCGCGTCGATCCCTGAGGGCTGATTCAGAATCCAACCCAAAGAAGAATGGCTTATATTGCTCGCAAAGCAATTTTAATGGCATTGTGATTTTGCTATTTTTTTATAATATGTTGTTGGTGTATTCAAGTGGATATGTGAATTTTAATGAGATTAACAACATTTTAATGGAATTATTGCCTGAATACGATAATGTTTAGTAAACAGTGTTTACACAAAAAAAAATTAAAATAATGAATATTTAAAAACAGTATGTGAGCAGTTATTACCTGGGTCGTTTTCAAAAAACACCCGCCTTCTGCTGTCCGTAAGATTGAATTCCAATAACTTTGTTAAAAATTATCGGATCTTATTGATTTAAAAACCAAGTGAAAGCCTAACAAGCCCTTAGTAAACTCTTGCAGAAGATGTCTGTTTAGTTATTTCAGAATAATTTTTTTTTAATTTTGAAACTTGTGAAACACACATTTTCGCATGTCCCATTAGCGTTTTATAAAACTTACATAATTTTTTTTTAAATATTGAATAACCAGAACTTTGTGTTGCTTTATAGCAATCCATAACATCCTTAGTCAATACAGTAAACAATTTATATATAAATTAATTAATTTTAATCTACTTTTTTTAAATTTGACTTATGTCCCAGACATTTTTTCCGTTGCGTTACGTCCGTCGCGTTACCGATAGAATATTAAAAAAAAAACATATATATGGCAATTTTTTTGGCACTCACGTGATCATCAAATGATGTTCGGACGTACACATTAACCAGCTGAATTTATTTATTCAATCAGAAAGAAGATATCGGTTGAAACAGGTGCGGGTAACGCGAATGTAATAATTGTTTGTCCGCTAAGTTACTTAAAAAAAAGGTAAGAAAAAATACTATTTTTCATGTTTATGTTTATTTTAAGGCACTAAAGCTCATTGAGAGTAAATTAATGACTGTAATGTCTTATTATTATTTTTTAAATATGGTACATAACCTTATGGTAACGCAATGGAATTTAGGTTAACGCAATAGAATTTTTCGACAACAAAGTGGATATTTACCGTCGCTTTTATTAAAAGTAGTTTATGATAAACCAATTTAAAATTATTTGTGATTACAACTCATGATGTAGATTACATCCAAGAGAAAATTCCACGCAATATACAAGTACTGAAAGGTACGAAAGACCTTCACCAGCTTATAGTCAAAGAAAAAGGGTGTCTACAATTTAGAAATCTAAGTTGTTATTCTGCAATTCTGCAAGTGAGCACCACTACAAGGGATTTTGTTTATGCATTACTCTAAAATCGTACCTATATAGTTTATTTTTTACGTTATCTGATTAAGTCCTTTGTATACCCCAGTCCGTTGTGATACCAATGTCTATTTCTTTTTTTAGTTTTTGTTAAAAAAATACTTAAAATGATTTTTATATACTATCACTTGGTAATACGTGTTTATAAACTAGTGTTTAACTCACTAATACAGTGACTAAAAGAAAATATTAATGGTATTGTTTTTTTAACAAAGAATCGGAATGGTTTCTTTTAAAAAACACTCAACGAGCATAAATATTAAAAAAAAAACATACAATTTTTAATAGAAAATAAAATAAAAAATTGGAGTCAAAAGTTTGTGAACTATAGTACATTTTATTTCAAATTATTTTTATAACAACTTTTTTATTGAATTAAATTTTGGATTTCAAATTGGTGACACAGTGAAGATATATAAAGCTAGCTGTCTTAAATGTAAGTAAACAAAACTCTAAACATTTATAAAAATCCAACCAAAAGTCAATTTAAGCAAAAAAAAATTTGATCATTTTCCTGAAAGCGGGTGTTTCTTGATAATGACCCACCTACCAAATATAAAAATTTTAAACGTTTAAACATTAAACCTTTGGGAACAGCCTGTGTTTAAAAACAAAGCCCCATTTTAAAAGCGGCAAGTATATGCACAACAAACGCATGCACTTTACATAATTGGCTTCAAAGCAATGGCGGCTCGTCGTATAAAGCAACTGAGGCCGGGCCTCACATGTTAAAATTACAATATAATTTGAAATTTACGATACATTACTTATTTAAATATAAAACGTTTTAAAACTAATTTCCAGTCATTAAAAGTATCAAAACATAGAATAACCATTAAAGTTTAAAATATTTCCTTTAAATTTATCGTACACCCCTTCCAACTTTAATTCTAAACGCTTAAATCATTGCCCGACCGCATAATAGGGAAATAGTAATCCCATAAATTTGCGCTTCATATACGTCACACATTGCCGATACAACATCATGCACTGTTTAAAATATCTGTGGTGTAAAGAGAAATCTTAAAATGGTGTCAAAATCCAACACCAAATGGTGTTAATTTAACCACCATGAATTATGGTTGAAAATGTTATATACAGCAAACACCAAAACGGTGTTTATCTAAAAATATTTGAGAAGTGCACCTACACAGAAAAAAGGGAATAGTCCATTTAACTATTTTAATTTAGTTGACCCATAAGTATTTATTCTTGTATTTTTTTTTTATCAAGTGTGGGAAGGTTAGTATAAACAAAGATTAGTTGGACGGTACTAAGCCAGATAGTTATGTTATTTTCTTTAAATTGGTTAAATTAACCCAGAAAACTTTAGTAAAACCAACCCGCTGTATGGTTCAGTTACTAAATATGTTGTTTGTAAAATAAGAGTTACTTTAACCTAGAGCAGTCTGTTAAAACGAATAAAACAATTTGCCTTGCATTCCCGGTTGCATAGTGTGTACCGATCGCGGCAAAGGCGGTGTGGATCACGTGATGTTCTTAAATCTCGCCTTTGTTGGTAGTCCTTTGCTTTGGTGTGATACTACAAGTTGTTCGATACTAAACAGACCTTAAATTGGTGGAAACAGCTGTCAATACTTGTATTTTAAGTTGGTGGTACGCACTAAAAGTATTAGGCATTTTTTCTCGTAAATACTATGAAATACTATGGTTATTAAACTTAACCTTGGTTAATAGTTAATGTATTTTCGCGTTTAGAGTGCGTTCAAAAATCTTAACTATGACGTCACATTTACTAGACCATAAAACTACCTCGGCAAGCTGGTTATTCAATCTGGTTAATAGTCTATCTCTTATTAATGTGTATATTTCTTTATTTTAATCTGTCGAAAATTTTGTTTTAATGTCAAAAAATATTTAAACAGGTAACCACACTTTTTTATATTAGGCGTGATTGGCTACAAGTGTTACGTCATGGATTTTAATCAGAATTTCCAAGGTGAAAATTCTAGGTTATAGTTTATAAACATCAAAAGTTACATTTGAAATGACAATCAATAACCGTGGTTAAACGAATTAACCGTGACGTCATAACTTTTTTAACTATAGTATTTCGTGGTAATTACGCGAAAAAACGCCTATTATCTCTGGCGAGTTCCAGGATCAATTTGCTGGAATAATACCATTGGTAATATACTAGTATATTATTATAATGCGTCAAGGAACTTCCTGTTTCCTTTTTTCTGTGTAGTATGATTTAATTTGACCAAAAACACATAATATTTTGCACTGAAAAGGAGTTCAATTTACACCAGGTAAATTTTATTTTAATACTGTGTCAAAGTTAAATTTACACTATTTTAGTATTTGAATTTACACTGGACCAACGAACCATATTTAACACAATTTTGGTTTGTATCGATATAGACCATGTATGGTGTTAAGTTGGTGTTAAAATGGTCATGAAATTTTGAACAGTGTGCTCCCCATCGCTGCACGGTGCCGCCGGCACCCCCGCAAGGCGGGGACTATACGCGAATTTTTTTAGACATTGAGGCCCACAAAGTTGGGCTTGTACCACAGTATATGGAAGACAGCAAAGTCAGTCCCGAGATCTGTGCGGCTCGCTTATCAGCCGTTGAAATAGACTGGGCGAGCGTGAAATGTTTTAGTAAACAAAGCTTATTAATTAGATCTATGCGTGTTTATAGTTTCTTATTTCTGTTTAGTCTTTGCCTTAGCGCTAAAATTGAAAGTTGTGATAAAAATGCAAGCGTAAAATACATTATTGTGTTGTGAATTCATGTAAAAATAATTCAAATAATTATAAAAGATCATTTTTATTTTAATATATTATTAACACACAAATACCACAGTAAAAATCACAAAAAAATATAAATAAAAATATTCATGTTTTTTTATAGTTTAGTGATAAATCGTTGAGTTTCATATACCTACTGTGCTGTACATTATTATTCTGTTGTTGTGCGGTTGTGCCTTTATTAATCTAAAAATAATTATTGTAAGATAGGTAAAAATGAGCAGTACCTCCTGGGTAATGTGAAAACCTGCTGAAGGAATAAATAAAAATCCCACCTCGTCCCGCACTTTTTGTATTATTCTAGCTAAATTTTGAAAATTCTTCTCGTGAAAGAACATATTTTTAAATAATATATTTTTATTATTTAGATTCTGAAGTGCTCCAAAAACTCGAGACTTTA